AAATATAACCATCAGGGCTAATTTGTGTAGTTCTCCCAGTTGTCACAAGCCTTGTTCCGCCACACAGCAAATGGCAGCCTGCACTGATTTAATTTACTTTAGCAGTTTCAGCAACTTTGTGTGAGCTGAGGGGAATCACAGCCAACAAAATGTGTCTGAGGAAAAATTTTCCATGGCACCTTTATAAGAAGGGCTCCAACTAAAGCTGCCTAGTGATGGATCACCATGCACTTTTGAAAGTGAGAGGATAAAAGTGGAGAGTTTTCTACAGCACATATTTTGCATGTGCAGTTATGTTTAATGCAGTATGAAATATAAAGCTCCAGAACTTTCACCTCTGGATGGTACTTCATAACTGCAGACAAAATCAGCCAGTGACTAAAAGAGGCTGTATAAAATATCAGAGCACTATAAATTTCCTAAAATCTGGATTACTGAAGAAGGAAAGCACACTCCTTCAACAGAGGGGCAAAAACATTGTTTCCCTTTTCCTGCTCCACAAACACAAAAAAGAAATAAACCTATTCTCTCTGAATGACAGTTACCTGTATGGTATGGAAATGACTTATTTTCTGATTACTCATTTGCTAAACTCTTTATACCGTGTTCTCTAAGAACAGTTCATAAAATTCTGATCCTCTGGCATGTGTTTATCTTTGGGCTGGACCAGATAGCTATGCAAACAGTTTATAGAAGAGATTATCTACAGTTAGTTGGGGGAATATTTGCCCTCTCTGTTTCATGCAGAGAAACAATAAGGGCAAGCATACACTTAGCAAAAAGAAAAACAAAAGGGGAAGCAGAGATTACCCAGCTGGTAAATTATATCAAGTACACAGAATGATTGTTGTGTTTGTGTGGATTGATTTTCCAAGTATTCTGAAACAAACAAGGCACTTCAAAACACTGAAAAACTGCCGTGCAGAGCAAAGCAGAGGAAGAGGAGGAACTTCCAAGAGCAATTTGTAACTGCTCCAAAATACTTTGGAGATAACATACATAACTGAAGGACCTTCAATGAATGCCTGGGCAGACATGTTCTTGCAAATCATGTTAGAGCAGTTTAAAAAATTACCAGTTTTCTCTCTCTGCTGAAGGCTACCCTTGCAACCGAGATACAGTAATTGCCCATATGAGTTCTCCTACTACATGCAGAGCAAAATAAATCATTACTGAAGGCAGTAGGAATGTTTGTCTACACCCTTAGTCACAGGGGACCATTTAGTGACTCAGTAAAATTCCATAAACATCTGAGAGCTTGGATTTTTCATTTCCTGCCACTTGACTATACAATAGCTGGAGAAGCTACTGTATCCAGCTCCTCTTTTCTCACTTTCCTATTAGTGCTGAAATGTTCACTACACCCAAACTGATTTCTCTTAGACTACATATCATACCATAAACTAGCAACTGTCCCAGTTTGAAAGGCAATCTCAAGCCTAGCTCTTGATATGATGATGAACTGAAGTGGCCAGCAACTATGGCATCACTGACTTAATAGGTTTGGTGAGAATTCATATGGTGAAGACATCAAGTAAGCCCCACTGGGATTCCTGGTACAGGAAAATACTTAAGTGCTCAGTACTTCAGTGCTGTTGGCAATGAAAAACACACACTGCACTATTTTGTTTCACAGACACTATGGCTCACGGAAAAAATAACTGAAATACTAAACACTTTTTTATGCTTCCTTTCACAGCTTTTTTGTCATTACTGTTGATAAGTTTATTTCTCCAGGAGTTAAGATCTGTCCCATTCCCAGTCTCAGTCAGACAAGTTATTTCAGCTAATAGCTAGTCAAGCGTTCACTTCACTGACCTGTGTAACTTTTCAGCTGAGTCCAACCATATTTATTTTAGCTTCACAGGAGCATGACTTCTTTTTTCAAGTAAAATTCTATACTAAGCTTTGAATGTTACCTTTCAGTTCCAAAATTGCAATCCTTTTATTCTTGTCTGTTTTTCCTCAAAGGTTTTGTCTTTCTATCCTTCAATGAGGTAAGACAGTACCATACAGTGAAATACTGTCTTATATGTACTTCAACAGATATTCTGAGAACCTTTCATACCATTAGTCAGAGAGTCTTTTAAAATATCTATGGACCATGTCCAAAGAGTTTTGGCCTAATTCAAGTATTTTTATTACCCCATTAAACTGCAGATATGCTGATTACTGAAATACACAGTGGATGTTCCATGAGGAAACATCATGATTGCAATCTGCTGTCATGCAAACAGAAATTTGTATTCTATTCTTTACCTTTGATCACCCAGTAATGACTGACATCTGTATAGGCTCTTACTAACATTTCATCTAATCAAGAAAAATTTAATAGACGGCTTTAATATGAAGAGTAATGTTTTCTGGAGTGCACCCTGATAGGATTTTCAAATCCAGCTGAATCTTCAAAGGATATGCATTTCAGTCACAAAGCTATACCTGTCAAAATGGTAAAAGTAATTTTTAATTTGGTTTTCTCCCAGCTGAGGAACTGAATAAAAAGTAATTCAGTTAAGTGACAGGATGCTCATTTATTCATATTTATCCCAAGACAAAAATCTGTCACAGAATTTTTTACATAAGGTTTTAATTCAGTTGCTTAGAGTAAAACCTCTTATAGAAATTATTGTGTGTCCTTTTAAGTGCAACATCCATTTAAAACTCTATCTGGTTGCATACAAACCCATTCCTGAGCTATAGTTAACTATCCTTTTAAATTCTTTGACTCTCTAACCAATTTTCAGAATGTTTTTCTTCTTATTGACAACTTACCACCGCAGAAAGTCCAAATCAGAATCAGAGCCCTCCTGTGGGGGGAAAGCACTGATAGGACAAGACAAGTCTCTAACTGAGGCTGAATTCTGGTTTTCTGATGACTCTGTCTTTTCGATTCTGCTGTATTTCACTCGCTGATCTCTCTATTTAGAATGTGTTCTAACTGAAGCTCTAGGCAATGCCTTAAAAGACTTTTCTATTGCTCAAGTTTTATGATAGGGTAAAAAGCTAAGCTTGTTTTATAAATTTGAAATACATTTGATCTCTCCAGAGCTCCATGTTAATAAAGGGTCTCTCACAAGTTTACTATGAAGATACTCAATGAAAATCTTTCTACCAAATGTAAACAGTTAACTTGGTCAACCCTTCACTAAAATTTCAGGCATCTCCCTATGGCAGTGGACAATTCAGTCTGTTAAAACAGAGAGACAGAGGCCTCTCAAGATTTGCAAAGAAGACCAAGGCGTTCCTCTCTTCACTGACAGCACAGAGAAAAAAGCAGGCATGTCAGGCTCCTCTGTCTACTTGGGATCCAGTCTGCTCTTGTTCTGAGAGTGAAATTTGCATTCCTGGATGTACAGTGGCTCAGGTTCAACAGAAAGAGTAAAGGAGACTCTCGCCCAGCATACGCTACAGCCTTGTGAATCTGCTAGGATGTGGAGATGTGAATTCAAACTCTTCCAGACTGAGTAAAGCCTACATCTCTACGCTCCCTCTTCCCCCCAAAAAAAGCATTAGACCTAGTAGAATACCAAAAGGAAGTGGCAGCACCACCACAACAGGGGCGTTCACTAAGTCCTGATCACCTCTGGCTTTTCTGGAGGATATGGGCAGAATCCAGCTACCTGTTCTCCTCCGGGATCTCAGCAGTGTTCTGGGCAGGAGACAGGTTCTTTTCACCTACAAAAGGAGCATTTTGGATCTTGCATGGGTAGTGAAAGCGAAAGAGTTAGGGAAATTTCAGCATGAATTGCAAGGTGCCTGATTCTCTGACGGCTGTACCCTGTCTTAGTGTAAGTAGGTGGATTGGATCCTTGTCTGAGATTTAGGTAGTGGGGCGGGCAGGGGGTTGGTGCCTAGCTCTCAGTTGCTCCTTCTATAGTCAATGGACAAAGAAATGTTCTTTTGAAGGAAAAATGAGATCTCAGGTGGACTACCTGCCTTCTGGAAGTATCTGCCTTTCTTCATCAATCACAGAAGAATCCTAGAGAGTCCATGCTGCAAACTGCAGTGTTCAAATAATTTTAGTGGGATGAATTCAGTGTGAATTGGAACTGATTTTTTTTTTTACAGTTTCCTATTTAAAATAGGTTTTCTATGTCCTAACCTATGTCATAAACAAAAAGTTAAACTGATGGAGAAACTGAAAGCCAAGTATATCCCTACTATAACTCCATTAGCGTCAATGGACGAGTTTTAATACCACATAATTCATCTGTAAGATGTTTCAAGTGCCGTGCCTACACAGCTGCCGTGCCAGACTTTAGCAATACATACCTGGCCAGCACAGAGCACAGTCACACTTCCTTTCATGGCCTAGGAGGCAGCTTTCCCTATCCTCTGACAATTAACAGATGACACTGAGAATGCTCACAGAGAAGTAGTCTGGGAAATTCTCTGCTCAGAGGCAGAGCAAGAGCAGCCTCCCCTCCTTATAAGAAAGTCTTTGGCTCCAACTTACGCTTTTACCAGCGTTCTGTTAATGCTCAGCTCCAGGTTCTTACTCCAATTAGTTAAAAGCAGGATATGCTTCATTATTCCTATGCCTAGACTAATGTTGCTTTTGTAATGCAAAAATGGTCTCTGAACATCTTTCAGTCTCAGCACAGTAGAAACCCTGCAAATTTTCAAATGGATGAAATACTTTAACCCCATTAATTAATCCTGTTACATTAAGAACAATCTGCCACTAAAACTGCTTGGAAGTTGAGAGTTATAAGGAAAAATATTTCACTGAGGCCGGTGTGGAAGTACAGTTAGTTTTGGTTGGTGCTTTTGGCAATACCTTTTTCAAGAGACCCAGAGTCCCCTCCACAACCAGTAATTTGACCCCACTGTTCTTTCTGATGGACAGTAGGTTTGGAAAATCCCTCTAAAGTAGGAGAATGTCTTTATGCCTATTTTTCATTTGCTTCTACCGAAAACTCAGGAAGACAGTACACTTTAAGGCATCTTAAACATCAGTCAAATAATTGAACCACTGTACAGAAACAACAAATAATTACCTTCAAGTGTTTCTCCCTCTCCAGAAAGGGCCTCTCCTGCTCCAGAGGCATACAAGGCAGACACAGTCAATGCATACCTAGTGGCTTGGTCTAAGCCTTTCAGCACTTTAGAGGTAGTGTCACCTTTCACAGTCACTTCCTTTGTTTCACCTCCTGTGACTGGAGTGTATGTTATAAAGTACTGCTGCACTTTGCCAGGAGCAGCACTCCAAGACAGCTTCATTGTTGATGTTGTAGCATCAGAAACTCTCAAATTTCTTGGATTTCCTCGGACTGCACATGTCAAAAGATGTTGAAAACAAGTTGAAGCAAGCTTCATTTCTTGGTTTATTTTTTATGTTACCACAACATAGGACATAATGCTGAAAAAATAATTCCTGAGTACTAACACTGCTACAGTATAACCTGACTGTAATCAAGATTGTACAATTCCATCCCCACCCTCCTTAGGCAAAAATGCCCAATAAAGTCTTTTTGCTCTTATTTTTTTCTATTAAAACTACAGGCTCAATCCTGGAACACTTATACATACCAGCACCTGAATATATGCTCAACTTCAACATGCCAAGATCCATGTTGAAATCACTGTCTGCAGAATCAAGTCAAAGATCACCAATGAAATGTGAAATTAATACATTATGGTTTCCTACAGAGTTCTTTTTGATGATAGTTTTTCTGGTGTCTAATATTTAAAATCCCAGTGAAGTTTCACCAGTGATCAGGCCATTCGTAATGTCTCTATTCTCTTTGGATTTTGTTTAATAAGACATGATACCTGTTAAAGGATCATACAAGCTAAGGCTACCGTGATAACTTTAGTAAATTAAATGTTTCATTCATTCCTTCCTAGCCATTCAGAACGAAGTGCAAACAGGGTCTGAATTTGCTGAAAAGAAATATAATTTATATCATTGACAATATGAAGAATCATGAGGACAATGAATTAAACATACAGATAGATTCTTCACCCAAGTTACCTTGCCATATTAGGTGTTGCAGGTTCAAGATACTATGTTTTAAAATGAAATATTACAATTTTGATAAATTATATTGTCTTAAATTACCTCTCAACTAGGCTTGAGCAATTTTACATATGGGATAATACATATGGCCAATGTGGGTTATTCTCTTTTCAGTATGAATATGTCAGCATGCAGGGAGTTCTTCTCAAGCTTACTACATTCACAGCATTGATCATGTACCTTCATCAGTCTTTGCATATCCATTCAATGAATTTCCAGGCCCAGACTGATACTCAGGAATAACAGACACTTCATATCTTGTATCTTGGATCAAGTTCTGCAGAGTAGTTGATCTATCATTTGCTGAGACAGTCACTTGTCTCCTTTCTCCTCCAGTAAGTGGTCTATACACAAGCCTGTACCGTAGGACATTTCCTGGAGCTGGAGCCCAGCCAACTACAAAGCTGTCAGTAGTTTCATCTGTTATCCTTAAGTTTCGAGGAGCACCTTTAACTACAAAAAATATACACATATAATTTGTAAATATTTGCTTTTAATCAAGTAGTATCTGAAGTGAAACTGTTCCAACCGTTCTGTTAGCTCATCCAGTTTACCAAAACAACAGCTTATATTGCCCTCCCATTGTTTTAAGGTACACAAACCGTTAGTCTTTTCTGAAAATGTAGGGCCAGAGTTACAATCAGCAGTGTAACAAAGTTGTCCCCAAAAGTACATTAATCCCAGTTTATACAACTGCTTCTGAAACTTAAGACAGTCTGACTGTGTTTAGCGGTAACAGTAGAACTGAACTGTGTAAGGGACTTTTGGGCATAGTAGGGAAATTTCTTAACACAACAAATCGTATAGGTTTCTTTGCTGTGGCCATTTGCTTCTGAATTAAGTCTCAAACTCAAAGACAAGAAATAGCTTGTTATCCCAGAAATTAAGGAAAAACTGTGGTGAATCATTTAACCTAGCCTGCTCCTTGACAAAAAATACAGCAGCTCAGGTCATTTCATACAAACTCAGTGGGCACACCAAAGAAGGACTTGACTCTTCCAACTTACATTAAGATCTACTGTACTCCAAGTTGCCTAGCAGTATGTAGCATTGTCATTTAGGCAAAAAAAAAGTTTTGGTTTTCGTTGTTTATTAACTGAAGTATAATTCAACTGGAACATTATATGCCAAAAGCATTGTTCTTCAGTGTTAAATTACAGATCTGTTAAGAGTGGAGCAATTAATAATCCTAGCTTTAAAGAAATGAACTTGTTTCCTACTAATCAGAAACACAATACTCAATTTCAAATTCTTTAAAACTCTGAAACCAAAATTAGTTGCCAAGAAAGCTGTCTGGCCCAAATTGTTAGCTAGATCTGCATGGAGAGCTGCTGATGTTTACATGATTGCAGAAGAATTCTGTCTTCTCAGACATGTTGGGATTTCATCAGATCAAGGTGCTGACAATTATTTAAGGCAGTATCAGTTACAACATGGGAACACTGATTATTTTTGTTAAAGCTATTCCTTCTCTTGTGCCTTACGATCACAAGGTACATATTCTATGCGCCAAGAGTTTGTCTGTTTTCCTAAGGGAAATTTATGTGTGGCCAAAACTGGTACAGTCATGGAATATGCACACCAACCGTATCTTCCAAACTTAACATCCAAACACATGTTTATTTCTATCAATCTTAAGAAGAAAGAGCAATTAACAAATTTCCATGCTGTTTCTTTTGCTCCCTTGGAACCATTTATGTCACCAAAGGTCACAAATGACACCATGGAATAATGAAAAAGAGTGGATCAATATTTTAAAAGGCATGATTTAGACTAGACCGAGTATTCAACTACTGGAATAGGAAATCAAATTTACTGTTGTCCTTCTCCTTTAAATCAGTGGAAATACATCGTGGCAACTCTATAAAGAAAAAGTACAGCTACCATGCTTAAATTTACAGCCATTGATCACATAAACTCACACTGACATCAATGAAAGTTTTGAATCAGTAGGAGTTACTGGATCAGACCCATGAAGTTCTGATGAGAAACAGCTGACCAAAAACACAGCCCCCTTTAAGCCTATGGTATATAAAACAGAATTTCTATTAATGTAAGTTAGATGTAGACACAGCAAATTACATAGGTACATGCTTGATTTTAAATGTATTAAAGTCAACATGCATTC